GTGAAAGACAATGGATGTGGAGTCAGAAGGCCTGTGTTCTTCATGGAAGTCCCTTAAACGGCATCTCATTTTCTTTACATAAAAAAAAGGGAACCATAACTCTTCTGTCATTTTGGTAAGGTTTATGCAATGTAATATTTGTGAAAACATCGTATAACAAACTGCTAAATAAATGTAAGGTATAATTTTTGCTTAATCTGAATTCTTCATCAGTGAGCTACTTAATTTTTATAATCCGAGAGCTAGCAGATTGCCAAAAAAAAAAATGCAAGCATATAACATTAAGACACAGAAAACCTTGAAAATGTTTCTGATATTCAAATAAAATATAAGATTTATTCGAAAGCCATACCTCAAATGCACAAACAAAATGCATCCCTTTGAAAGACAATAAGTCTTTACATTTTAAATTTTATAACAATTTGAAGATCTTCTTTGTTCCCACCAAGTCTGATAAAGATTAATTCCATAAAGTGTCAAATGTACTTCCTTGTTTATATAACATATATTCTCTCTTTAAATGCAAAATATTCAAATACAATAGTTTTATGAAACTGTTCTCAATTCTGAAAGTCTCACTAGTCTATAGAATCACATTTCCATGTGCTTCTTAAAATGAGGTAATAAGATAAATGTTGAAACTTTTTTCTTTCAGATAATTTTTTCAGATGTTTCTACCTCGCTGACACCAAGTGCAACACACCTTGACAATTCCTTTCATGTGAAATATTTTCCCAGTGGTTACTCAGTATCTGCACAAACAGTAGCAATACCTGCCATTTATAATATGCCATTTATATATTTTAATATAATTAAAATTCATATGTTGTAATTCTTTTCACACCATTTTAAGATCCAAATCAAAGCTATTGCTACAGTGATTCACTATTTTCTTTATAGATATTTTAATAAATATTCCTAAACTCTAGAAGACTATTCATAATCCTTTAATGCAGGGGTAGTAAATTTTTTCTCTAAAGGATCAGATATAAATATTTTGGTTTGTAGGTCACTTCTCTGTTGCATATTCTTTTTTTTTTAACACTAAAATGTAATGAAAACGTCTTTAGCTCTGCTGTAATTTGCTAACTCCCTACATCGAAAAAATAGAACTAGTCTTTAGACTACTCAAGTGTTAGTAAAACGTAAACCTCACATTTTGCAATAAAATAAACCCATGTTTTCTAACTACTAAATTGAAAGTTCATAAACAGTAGGAAAGAATCCCATTCAAAGAGCGGGACTACATTTCAGGTATTCTTTTTAATCAATGGCACTTTCTTATGGCTTCTTTTTCATTTTATTGGATAATTCACGTGTCTTTAATTTTTTTGGTTTTTGCGTTTTTCTTTTAATATGGAAAAATTCTCTTTATGTGTTTAATTTGAAGTTTGGAAAATTGAAGACTGGAATATTTTCATGCTAATAGAGGTAGGTGCATACGCACAGGTAGGTATATGCAGTTACAAATACTTGCATAATGCAAACCACTATTTTACATATAAATTCAATTTAATGCTCTCCACAGCTAAGAAGGAATCAGTGGAAACCAGCTAGAAGGTATGTAAAACAGTCCTACAGAATGTTCAAATTTGTTCTTACCACATGTAGTTGTTACATTTTGGGAAAATGTTATTTGAACATGAAATACAAGGGTACTTCAAAAAACTCATGGGAAAATAGAATTAAAAGATAATACAAATCCTTCCTTGAACTTTTTAAAGTGCCCTGCCTGGTGTGGGAATATAAATTAATATAGAAGCATGATTTATGCAGGTTCTTCATGCATATAACCTGGAGCTGACTAAACACTGATGTGTAACATGGTTCTATAGTTTGGCACTGAGAATCACAACTGCGTGTATGTGTGTATGTTGTGTGTGTGTTCCTGTCCTACCACAAACAGTGTTATAAGCATATTATGGCAAATAAAAAAGCAGTTGTGAATTTACCCAAATACATGATAAAGAAGTTGGAACACTCCGGAATTACAATCACATGATATTTTACAAAAACATTTACAAATTCTAAAGCTGAGAAAGTTGAAAACTTTGGTTTTCCTATGAAGTGAGCTCAAGTGCCCAATCTTTGAACTATAAAAAGTATTCAGTGCAAAAATAGTATCACTATTGATAAATAGCAATGACACAAAAATCACATGAAACAATTAAAGACTATAAAACACGTAATGATATCCTAAAGGTATGTTTTGGTATAAAAAAGGTTATATGAGGCTAGAAAATAATAGGTTGTTTTATGATTTAATTGTGAGTCTGGGTGTTGGAGTGTTTGAACACTCTTATTGCAAACAGACTCAACACATTTATAGCTCATCACGCTTCTTCTTAAATGGCCATTTCGGGTGTTGCAAGATGTGGTCTGCAGCCTGAAGGACAAGGTACATAAATTCTTCCACATCGAAAGAGTAATTGGTAAACTTCGGATGCTCCCCCAGGGTTGGGTGGTGGCCCTGTAAAAACAAACCAAAACACAAATCTGTAAGTCACTGAAGGCAAGGTTTTCTCTATAAGAAGAAAAGTATTTTACTTTTGCTAAGGCAACTATTTTAATTTATACACTACATCAGAAGTCAGCAAATTTTCTCTGTAAGAGACCAGATAATAAAAATTTTCAGCTCTGCCAACCATATGGTCTCGATCATAGTTACTCAACTCTGCCACTGAAGGACACAAGCAGCCACAGACAACACACAGATTAATGTGACTGTTCCCAATAAAACTTTATTTACAAAAACAAGTGATGGGCCAGATTTGCCCCACTGGGCTGTAGTTTGCTGATCCCTGCTATATATAACCTAATAGAGCTTTTGAGGATCAAAGTTCACAAAGCTGCCTTAACAACATTAAAGATATGGAATGATTAACTTCTCTTTTTCTCCAATTTGTAAATATAACATACAACAACTCACTATTCCAAAAAAGAACAGTTTATCTTTAAAGTTCAGTGATCATTTTCATATTGATAACAGACCCTTTAAATCAAATAAAAATGAAACAAGGTGGGTTTGTGATTGAGCTTCACCTTATCTTGAGGAAAGACTTTGTTCTGCCTTCGCCAGGTGATGTAGTGGACGCCTCTGAGCCTGGCCAAGTCCAGGTAACAGCGTTCATCTTCACAGTTGTACCTAGGGACACACAGTGTCATAGCATGAGACTTTTGTCCAGGGCTTTTGGGCCAATCACAACTCTCTGGGGGGAAAAAAAACACCTCCCAAATATGTTCTTGCAAAAGGTTTTATAAACAGTAAACAAGTTTGAGAAAAACCATTTTTGACTTTTGTCCAGGGCTTTTGGGCCAATCACAACTCTCTGGGGGGAAAAAAAACACCTCCCACATATGTTCTTGCAAAAGGTTTTATAAACAGTAAACAAGTTTGAGAAAAACCATTTTTAAAATATTCTCAGAACTAAATGACCTTACCTTTTAAAAAACAGAAGAGGATCAAGAAATGGAGGATACTGATCTTATTCAATAGGGACTACTGCCTATGAACTTGATAACATCTCCTAATACCCCTGTCTTTACACATATGGTGGACTGAGGGTAAGTAACACTGCCAAGGTCGTGTATTAGTAAAGAACCAAAAATTGAACCCAGGTCTATTGAACTCCAAGGCCTGAGCTTTCTCAGTGCCATTTCTCCTCTCTCTTCCTCTCCCCTTTTTTCCATCCTTCCCCCTCTCTCTCTGTGAGAAATGAATTGAGATAGAATTCACAATTACCCAGCTATTTCTCTAACATACATATTTTTTAAATGTCTTGCAGGGCATTGGAAGTTCATGACAACTTTCTTCCTAAATAGTCTCCTATTTAAATACTGAATCAAGTCATTTTTTAAATGAAACCATAAAATCCAGATATTTAGAATTGCAGGGCATTGGAAGTTCATGACAACTTTCTTCCTAAATAGTCTCCTATTTAAATACTGAGTCAAGTCATTTTTTAAATGAAACCATAAAATCCAGATATTTAGAAACAAAAGGGGGAATGAGGTAAGAGTAATTATATTAGTGTTTCAAGAACTATAGATGGGGCATGGGCACTGGCCAGTTAGCTCATTTGGCAGAGCATGGTGCTGGTAACACCAAGACACGAAGGTCACTGGTTTGGTTCCCCATACTGGCCAGCCGCCCCCCTCAAAAAAAGATGGGGCATGGTGTCAGGAGTAGAATTCTTAAAATAGGGAAAGCCACATCTCTATAACTAACCACCAAGTTAGGAGAGCCCTGAGCAAATCATTTACAACAGAGGGCCTCAGATTCCCTGTGTATAGAGTCAGCTAGCATGAGATGAAATGGCTGGCTTGTGTTTTGGAGCTGTGTTGTGCACAAGACATGCACGTTCTCTTTTGTTGTTTGTGGGGTTTTTTTGGCAGCTGGCCACACATTGTCTTTCAACACAGTAATCATACTGATTGCAGGGAGATGCTCACAGTTTAAAGGCTTGTGATTGGGAGCTCTGTTGTGCATGAGAGTTACAGGTTCCCTTTTAACACAATAATTATACTGATTGCGGGGTGACTCTCACAGTTTGAGAGGCACACAGGAATGAACCCAAAGTAAGGAAACCACAGATTCACGGCTTCCGTATTGTGCTGGGGGTGGAGGGAGTCTTTGCTTACTAAGTGCGATGGCAGTCTGCAGACTTTACATTTTTAGCTTTAGGTCTTTTTTCTTCTTTCCAGATGCCTATATGATGTAATTTCTCTGTAACAATTAAATATTAAGCCTTTTGATGCTCAGAATGAAAGTCTTAGCAGGCATAAAAAGCATTGTTAGTGGTCTCAGTGTAAAATTGCCCTCAAGCACTTACAGTTCAAATACAGCAGCCCAGTCTGGAAGGAAAAGTAAATGAGTAAGACCAGCTCCATGCATTCCAATAAATATGTCAGTGTTGTGTGTGATCCTTAGTTGATCTAAAAACCCAAGTTCTCTGTGAACATATAGAATAACACCAGAGAGATGGAGAGAAGACAGAAGTATTGAGTTAGCTCATGATTCATGGTAACAATATTTATACAAGTGTATTTCCTGATTTAAATTACATTCCACTTTTACACTTCTTTTTGCAATTTCAAGTTCACTCTAGTAATTATTAACTTAATTTCTTAATAAGTTAACAATTTTTCCTAAGTAAGCTCACCTAATCTTTTTAGATTTAAGTACATTTATTTTTAAAGCAAACTTGAATAGCTGTCTTAAATGGAAAACAAGTAACACATGGCATCAACAAAACTTTAAAAATAGATATAATCAAACTAAAAAGTTATCATTCAAATCTAGGTAGATATCACTGCAAGACAAAGCTCTGAGCCTGAGGCCTGCACTCTCCATGAAAAAGAGAAATTAGCAAGTGTTAGAGAAATGTTATGACATACTAGCACCAAACTAAACCCTACTTCCTTAAACTAATAAAAGGATTTCTTTAAAAAGAAAATAAATTTCTCCTTGTGTGATTTGAGTTATTCAATGCCATCTGGGTACACCTAAAATGATCGCAGATACTACCAAGGTATTTTTCTGTCTTTGCAACAAACTGATCCAAAATTTTATGTACATTAGGATTGTTAAAATGTTCTTTAAATCCAAGACGCTGACAGATGTGCGAATTCAATCAAAAATCTGTCCCCCAAAAAGTTCATTAAAGTAAGGCTAGGAAGAAATGCTCAAGTAAGGGTGACACTCTAAATATAGATAACAGAATGAGATCTCCCAGTCCCACTTTACCCAAAGTAAAGAAAAATAAATGATCAAGATTATTTTGGATCTGAGAATAAAAGGTGAATTCTTTTTTACATGAGATAACAAAAAAACCCCTCATAGGAAAGGGAAGACAAGCACTCTGTGTATGTGTCTCACTCCAGGAACACGTGCCTCAGTTTCTCCAGGAATGTGGACTGAAGATGTTGGAAGGATGGCCATTCGACCAGGTGAATATCACCCTGGAGTTACTAGGTGTGAGAACCGCCTGTGATCAGCACTCACAAACCCCATGCTGTCATGTTACTAACATTTCCCTCAGATTGGCAACGTATGAATTTACTGTCATTCTTGCTTTAGCTGGGAAACTCCTGCATATCCTTAACAGCTAGTCAATGATTCAGCCTCAGAGGTGCCCTCCCCAGTTGTTTCAGGCTTATGCTGGGGCCCCACGTTGGCTCACACATTCTTCAGGTGGCAGTAGGGGTAGTCACCACAGCACAGTACAATTTGTAAAACAGAAATAGCTTTGCCATCCCCGGAGGACTGTTGACAGTGTGAGACAAGATAAAGCAAGGGAAGCATAATAGTAAGTCTCAATAGTTAGTAGCTGTTCTTATGACTGCTCTTTATCCGCATTCAAGTGTCTGAGGTCCTCAAGACAAGAGCCACCCCATCCTCCATAGTTGGATTCCTGCTGCTAAGCCTGGTGACCAGCTCACAGTAAGTCCCCAAGAAGGATTCATTGTACAAATGAACAAATGTATCCAGAATGAGGTTCAAATCTCCCACACTTCTCTGCAATAGTGTATCTATATCAGATACACACACGCTGGGATACGTACACTTTTTTTTTTTTTTAAACATAGAAAGAAACCATTCATAGTGTTAAATTTGGAAAACAGCTCTGTGATTGCGGGTGGGCAAAGGGCAAAGACAAAAGTTTTCACTTTTCCTTTTGATCGTTTCTATACTGCTTGACTTTTTCAACCAGGAACATGCACTTTTACAGAATTATTGTTCTTAAGTGAACAGGAATTACCTACACAGTAAGCAATAGGCATGTTCTCCTTTTCTAGGGCTTTTACTTGTTTCAGAATTTTAAAAAATCTTATATTATTCTATGACACTCAAATTATTCCCATAGAAATCATNATTCCTGCTGCTAAGCCTGGTGACCAGCTCACAGTAAGTCCCCAAGAAGGATTCATTGTACAAATGAACAAATGTATCCAGAATGAGGTTCAAATCTCCCACACTTCTCTGCAATAGTGTATCTATATCAGATACACACACGCTGGGATACGTACACTTTTTTTTTTTTAAACATAGAAAGAAACCATTCATAGTGTTAAATTTGGAAAACAGCTCTGTGATTGCGGGTGGGCAAAGGGCAAAGACAAAAGTTTTCACTTTTCCTTTTGATCGTTTCTATACTGCTTGACTTTTTCAACCAGGAACATGCACTTTTACAGAATTATTGTTCTTAAGTGAACAGGAATTACCTACACAGTAAGCAATAGGCATGTTCTCCTTTTCTAGGGCTTTTACTTGTTTCAGAATTTTAAAAAATCTTATATTATTCTATGACACTCAAATTATTCCCATAGAAATCATTTTAGGTCAGAAGTTGAAACTTGGAAGCCAGCATGACAAATTAGACCTATAACATTTAAAAAAATTTAGTACTAGTTGCCAACTTTTAAGAATTCAAATATTTCAAATGAAATTCTGGATTCATCACTTCTCCCACTTTGTCATTGAAAAATGAGATGCTGTCACAATATCGGGCCCCAGAATGCTGAAGAGCAACTGCCCCCCATACCCGGGGCACTCACCTGCCCACTAGATTAACTGATGGTGTCCATCTGTCCCTTCTGGGTCTACAAGAGCCAAGAGCTCCCATTGAGAAAATTCCCCATTAACTCATCCAAGCAAAAGACGGTCCAACTGTCTGCCTGAGAGTGGCTGTTACTTACTTATACTTGTAATCAACAATCCGGACTTCAAATGTAGATACTGTTTTCAGTGCATTTACAAGCTGGGGGAAAAAACAGAAATATTTAGAATTTCTTTTCCTTTCTTCTCTTCTGTTTTATTTTCTTTTGAGTCCTAAAATTTCTGATTTTTTTGCATGTAAGATTTTTCAGATATTAAATATCCTTTAGGTCTACTGTTTTGAATCTTAATTTGGTTCAAATCCAGCCTCCACCCCTTGAACACATTACTCTGCCTCCCTAAAATTCCAACCAACACACTGGATTGTTAGGAGGCTGAAAGGAGAAAAGTCATGGGAGCAAAGTCTCAGCACAGAAGCACACTAAGTTTTACTGTTATTATTACCATTTGCTAGTTTTTTCCTTCAACTTTCAACACATATTTGTTGGGCACTTACTAAGCTCCAGACATTATGTGAAGAGTTTTCTTTTTTATTTCTTTTCAGACAAACCACTAGTGCTTTGGACCCCATCCTCCCCAATACTAAAGTCTTGGCAGAAAAACATTTTCAATATTTCTATAGAAATATTGTAGAGAAACTATTATTCTCCTTGCAAACAGAAAGTAACAAAGCATGATTAATCTATTATCAAAACAGAGTCATGGTTCTCTGTGTCCTTCACAATCAGGCCATCTGAACCCAATACCATGGATCACCCATTCAGAAATGTCTGCACTTGTACCATGTGGCCTTATAGCACACACCGGACTGCAACAGCAACAGCAACGATAACAAACATCATTCATTGTGCACTTAAATTGTGCTGGTATTTCT